GCCCTGCCCCCCGCACCGCACATACACCCGGGCCCCGGCACCCGCCCACCCCACGTACACGCACGCACATGCCCTCCCCCCCCACGGTTCTCACCCACACACAGGCGTGATGTGTAGGGGGTGTACACAGGTGCACATGCACCCGCCGAGTGTGGCGATGCACCCCCTACAAAAAGGTGCTGCTGACAGTGGCACCTGCAGGCAGTTGCCGCTTGCCACCCAGCCACTGACAGCGCCAGCGGCATCTGTGGGCAGTCCGTGATCCCCGCTGGCTGCCACTGTGCCCCCCCAGCCACGGGACACTAGTTGTTCATGTGTGCGTGTGCACACACACACAGCCCAGCAACCCTCCCCCCACGCCTTGGGGCGTAGGCCTAGACATGCACATAGGATTCTAGGCCATTGAGACACAGACACACAGGACCCAGTGGGCCCCCACCCTCAGTGTCTGGTGCTGCCAGGCCTGCGCCCACTTCTCTTCCCAGGACCTCCAAGGGCAGTCACTGCGCATATCTGCCTGTCCTTCCCGTGTGCGTGGGGGGGTGGGATGGGACAGGCACACACACACCTTGCTGATCTTGATGGCACAGGGGGCGCCAGGAAAGCCAGGAAGGCAGGTCTTGAAGGCTGAGATCTCCGAGAAGGGTCCCCGGCCACAAGCATTGATCCCAGCCACACGGAACTTATACGCTGTGCCTGGCTGCAGCTCCTGTTTTTTCAGCTGTGAGTAATCAGGGATTGTGCCAGAGTCATCCTGTGGGGAGAAGGGGGTACAGGAAGCGGGGGGGGGAGAAGAGAAGAAGTTTGGGAATGCACAGTGAGCAGGATGTGGATAGAAGGATTTGGGACTGTGCAGGTCATTTGTATCAATGGGAGCTTGCAGAAGGGAGTGAGGGTGCACGGGGGGCAGGAAAAAGCCTAGGCATGTACGCTGGCATGGGGCAAGCTGTACAGCAACAGGAAATAGGAAAGAATAGGGGAGTGCTGAGCAGGAAGCAGGTGAAGAAAGGGATTGGGGTGGTGGTGGGGAGGCATATGGAATTCACAGCAGGGCTGTGGCTTTGGGTGGCAGCCAGTTTGCAGAAGGGGTTCAGAATGGATAGAGGAGCTAGAAGCAGGTGGGGAAGGGAGTGGGGGTGCACAGGCCCTCACTCATGTTAGCCGGGGGTAAGTTGTCAGGCAACAGAAGGGGTTCAGAGCATGTGGGCAGAAGGGAAACTGAGGGAGAAGGTTCCTCAGCCCGAAGTCGTATGAGCAAGGGTGTGTCCTTGAGGAGCAAGTGCATGAGGGGGTCAGGACAGCGCAGACACAGGAAGCAGATAGGGGAGGGTTTGCTGCACTCACATCTGTGGGAGGTGCATCATCAGGGGGCAGGAAGTAGTGTGTCACCATCATGTTTGTCCCCTTGACCACGCCCACATCAAACCACTGGTTCTCCTTCTTCACCAGCGCCTTGGGGGGCGGCACGGATGGGTCTGGCTTCTGGGGGAGAGAGGGGGCCATGAGCACACCATAGGACCCCCAAACTGCCAATCCCCCCATTCATGATTACCACAGGGCTCACCCAACTTCCACCCCCCATGTGCACTATAGGAGGTCCCCCTAACTTCTATCCCAACCTCCCCAGCTCTGTGAGGACTGTCCCATCCCCTGCTCTCCAGGACTCACCACAGGGGCAGGCTCAATGCCATTGGCCACCTCAGCCAGAGCAGCAGCTGCCTGCAGCTTGGCTGGGCTGGGGCCCACTACAGGCTGTGGTGCCACGAATGTGCTGGAGGGTGCTAGGCCTGTGGGGGGGGGAAGGGTGTAAGTAGGTCAGCAGGGAGGCTGGATTTCACCTCCCAGGTCCCCACCCAGACATAAAGGGTCCCCCTTGCTCTCCAAACCCAGGCATCCATGCTCCAAACCTTTTACTCCTAACTCCTAAGTACAGAACCCAGGTGCCTGGGCTCCCCCTCTTCCTGCTCTCAGAGCCCAGGTGTCCAGACTTCCCTTTGCTTTTGAGAACCCAAGGATCTGAGCCCCTGCCCGAAACTCTCAGCTCCTTGATGTCCAGACCACCCCTGCCTCAGAACCCAGGAGTCCAGACGCCCTGTTCTCAGCTCACCAATGCTGAGGCTCTCTTGGCTCCCCCTTGCTCTCCAAACCCAGGTACCCAGGCTCCCCCAACCCCTTCTCTCTGAAAAAAGGTATTCTCCTGGCTCCCCCTGCTGTCAGAACCCAGACAACCTGGCTCCTCCTGCCCCCAGGTCCCGCAGACACTCACTGTCAGGGGGTGGGGGGGGCAGGCCAGGGGGGGGTCCAGCAGGGCCTGGCAGTTCAGCCAGCCCATTGCTCTCACTGGCTGGGTCATTGAGGCTGTCAGCAGGTGCCAGTGCCTCAGTAGGCAGGTGCAGGGCAGTGCCATGCTGTGCCTGGGATGCAGCTGCCACTGCCTGTGCCTCCTGCAGCTGCTGCTGCTGCTGTACTAATGCTGCCAACTCCTGCTGTGTCAGCACTATAGGGATGGTGGCAGGAGGCCCCTCCGGCCCCTCAGCCCCCAGCGCCCCCAGCTCGGCTGGCCCTGTGCCCGCTTCTGCTGCATCCAGTGGCTCCCCGGCTCCTGGGGGTGACAAAGAGGTGCCGTTAGCAGGGACAGGGGCTGGGAGAAGACATGCAGCTACTCTGGGGTATGGGGGGGATCATACGTGGCTGGAAGGGGACATAAGCTTTCTGGGGTGGTGGTGGGTGTACAGTGACTAAGGGACGCAGCCCTTCGGTTATTTGGGGAGAGATGGTGGCTGGGAGAGAACAAATCACAGGCCTTGTGGAGACCCTCCCCACCACAGCAGGATGGAATGGGGCAATTAGCTTTATGGTGGCTGACAAAGGACACTACTCACCCATGACAGCCTGCTGGGCAGCCTGCAGCACAGCCTGAATGGCCAGGGCCTGGGCCTCTTCAGTGGCTGCGGCCTGGGCAGCTGCCTCAGCCGCTGCTGTCACAGCCAGCTCCTCAGGTGTCAGCCCTGTCACCATAAGGGTGGTAGCAGCACCCGCCTGCCCTTCAGCCATCAGCTCCTGGGGCAGGCCCAGGGGCTCCACCTCAGGTTGGGGTGCTGGAGGGCCACTAGTAGGACCCTCCGGCATCACCACCACAGCCACTGGGTCTGGGATGGGGCCAGTGGCTGGCAACGGTGGCTCCTCAGGGACAGTGGGGGCTAGCTCAGGAGGCGGCAGCTCATGCACAGCAGGTGGTGTGGGGGATGCTGGGGGCTCCTCTGCTAGCTGCAGTTGTTCAGGGGGCTCAGAGGAGGCTGGCTCGGGGCCAGGGGGCACTGGCGGCTCGGCCGCAGGTGCTGCCTCAGGCTCGTCCTCAGCTGGTGGCTCTGTCAGCGATGAGATGGTCTGAAATAAAGGAGATGGAGATTAGTGTCTGCCAAGGGTCCTAGGCCCCTCCCTGCTACCCTTGGCAAGAAGACTCACTGGGACGGCAGGGCCAGGTGCAGGTGTGGACTGGGTGACAGTGGTGACAGCACGAGGCTGGGCCAAGCTGGGCCCAGGGCTGGCGCTGCTGCTGGGAGCTGCAGCACTGCCTTCAGCCTGTGTGGTCTCTGGTTCTCCCTGCCCGTTGGCAGCAGGTGGCTGGTCTGCGGGGTTAGGAGAAACATTGAAGGGTTAAAGGGGGGGGTGTTAAAGGACCCTCTAGCAGCCCGAGCCTGCCCCCTACACCTCCCTCCCTAGGACCATCTCCCAGCTACCACCAGCAGGTGCTGAGGCACCTATTTAAAACACCTCCCCCATCCCCTTCCCTCCCCAAGCCAGGATCCACCTCCTGCCCTACCCCCATAGCTTAATCTTTTAAAGTAGATCACCTTTGGCATTCAAAAGCAACCTAAGATCTACTGTGAGCCACTGCCATCCCCACCCCCCCAGCAGTCTGTGGTAAGGGAAGCGGGGGTGCAGATCAAAGCACAGGAAAAAAAATTATTTGGGGGCATGCCTCTCCAGCAGGCAAATCCCACCCAGCCAGGATCCCATTAAACTTACCCCTGCTTCTACGACACTATCCCTCACCATGGGGGCTTCGATCTAGTCCCTGCCCCTCCCCTCCCCATGGACTGACCTGTTGGGCTGGGGCATGTGCATGCATGCACACAGGCACACAGCCCCCCAGCCTCAAAAAGACTCCAAGAGGCTCAGAGATCTACCAGTGGATCCAGATCCACTGGTTGGTGACTCTGCTCTAAAGGATTCCACCCTAGCCCCTCCCCCACACCCAGAACTAAAGCCCCTGGCCCCAACTGGAAAATACTCCTGCTCTCCCCTACTCAGGACTGGACCCCTACTCCCCCACCCAGCAGAGCTCAGCACCTGGTGGAAGACTCACCTGGGCCCCCTCCCCTCCCACCAGATCAGGCCTGGCATCCCCTAGAGAACCCCAGCTCCCTATCCAAGATCAAAGCTCCTGCTCCTACTCTTCTCCTGCCCCCAGCAATACCCACTAGAGAACCCCCCCACACTGCCCCAGCACAGCTCTGGGACCAAGCTTAGCAGCTTAGAAGATGCTGCTCCAGCCTCCACCCCCATCGGGATAAGGCCCCCCGCCTGGCTTCCCCCACAACTGGAAGATTTCCAACCCCCCCCCCCCCAGCAGCCACACACCCCTGGCAGTCACAGTGGTGGCCGTGTGGGTGGTGCCTGTCTCATGGGTCTCGCAGGGTGGGTTGGAGCAGGTGTGGAGGGAGCTGGGGGGGGCAGTGGCGGCAGCTGGGGGCTCCCCCAGGGGGTGGGTGGCAGCTGCCTCAGCTGGCGTTGCAGTGCCTGCAGGCTGCGGGTCACATGGGTCTGTGGCACCATCTGGCTCTTGCCCCTGCCCATGCCCCCCTCCCATGTTGGCCGTGGCAGTAGTGGCTGTATTGGTGGTGCCCGTCTCATGCATCTCACATGGTGGGTTGGAGCACAAGCGCTGTCCAGCCAGAGTTGTGGTGGCTCCTGTTTCGGATCGGGGATTAGAGCATAATCGTTGCCCAGCTGTGGCTGTTGTGGTTGTGCTGGTGGTGCCGGTCTCATGCATCTCACATGGGGGATTGGAGCACAGTCGCTGTCCAGCAGTGGCCGTCGTGGCTGTGCTGGTGGTGCCAGTCTCATGCGTCTCGCATGGGGGATTGGAGCACAGTCGTTGGCTGGCTGTGACTGTCACAGCTGTATGGGTCGCACTGGTCTCATGCATCTCACATGGGGGTTTTGTGCACGCTTGCTGCCTGGCTGTTGCTCTCATAGCCACGTTAGTACTACTTGTTTCACACGAGGAACTGGAGCACAAGTACTGTCCAGCCACAGCCGTTGTGGCTGTGTTGGTGGTGCCCCTCTCATGTGTCTCGCATTTGGGACTTGTGCACGCTCGCTGCCCAGCCATGGCCACTGTGGCCGTGTTGGTGGTACCTGTTTTATGGGTTTCACATGGGGGGTCTCCACATGCCCACGGCAGTACATGAGTGTCTGGGGTTGGGTGAGGTTGGCTCTCAGGCACTGTGGGAGGGGTCGGGGCTGTGCGAGGGGGTGGGGCTTGAGCCAGCCACCCAGCACGCGATTGCTGTCCCTCCCCTGCTCGCACTGACATAGTGGTACCTGTGGAACTGGTCTGCTGCGTGTGGCATGGGGGAGTGGGTGGCACCCCCGGCCCCCGGCCCATATGTGACCGGGCCGTTGTGGCCGTGTTGGTGGTACCCGTCTCGTGCGTCTCACATGGAGGTTTGGAGCACAATCTCTGCCCAGCTGTAGCTGTTGTAGCCGTGTTGGTGGTGCCTGTCTCGTGCATCTCGCAGGGCGGGTTGGTGCACAACCGTTGCCTGGCCATGGCTGTGTTGATGGTGCCTGTCTCACATGGGGGGTTGGAAAACAATCGCTGCCCAGCTGTGGCTGTTGGGGCTGTGCTAGTGGTTCCCGTCTCATGCATCTCGCACGGGGGATTGCTGCACAAGCGCTGCCCAACCATGGCTGTACTGGTGACGCCCGTCTCACATGGGGGGTTGAAGCACAATCGCTGCCCAGCCGTGGCAGTCATGGCCATGCTGGGGGTGTCAGACTCATGCACCTTATACGGGGGGTTGGTACATAATCGCCCAGCTGTGGCCATTGTGGCTGTGTTGATACTGCCTGTTTCGAACGGGGGGTTGGTGCACAATTGCTCATTGGTGGCTGCTGTGGCTATGTTGGTGAGGCTGGTCTTGTGCATCTCACACGGAGGGTTGGCACCCAAGTGCTGCCCGGTGCTGCTGCCAGCAATGGCTGTCATGGTGGTGCCCGTGGCGCTGGTGTGGCGAGTGTGGCAGGGTGGGTTGGCAGCTGTGGGCGTGGGCGTGGTGCCTGTCTCATGCGTCTCACATGGGGGGTTGGCGCAGGGCCGGGCTCCAGCACTCAGCACTGTGGTGGCTGTGGGCGTGGTGCCCGTCTCATGCGTCTCGCAGGGTGGGTTTGAGCACACCAGGGTCACAGTGCCTGGGCTGGGGTCACTGGGGCTTGGTTCCGCCAGACTCACAGCAGCTGCTGGCTGCTCAGCTGTAGGTGAGGCCAGGATGGACACAGGCAGATCATGGACAGGCTGTGCCTCCACACCACTGGGTGTCGTGATCAGCGTCACCTGGGTGGGCTGTGACACAGGCTGTGGGGGGGATAGGAGAAGGTAGAATCAGGGACTCGCATGGCCCTGCCCCCAAGACAGCCCTATGCCCTCCCCTTGGCCCTGGATTGGGGTCAGCATACCGCAGGGGAAAGGGGTAGGGCCTCATGCTGTCACTCACCTGCCTAATGAGGGGAGGTAGGGCCTGACACTGTCACAACTGCCTGGAGAGGGTGGGAGTGGGGCCTGGCATTGTCACTCATCTGCCTAGTGAGGGTGGACATGATATAGGGACGGGGCCTGGTGCTATTACACCCTGATGCTGATGGTGGGGACTGGGTGGGAGTGTGCACCAGCTGTCACTCATTCTCATGGCCATGGCAGCACAGTGCTTAGAGGTAGTCAGGGCTTAGCACTTCACACCTATGGAGATGGTGGAAGCTGGGTGTGGGCAGGGCCCAATGCTGTCAGAGCTTGGAGCAGGGGTGCAGCCTGGCCCTGTCACTCATCTGGACACCATGATACAAGTGTGGCTAGTGCCTGCACCTGGAGCTGTCACTCACCTGCATGGTGATGGTGGGCGTGGCTAGGCCTGCAGCAGGTGCCATAGTGGTCTGGGCAGCTGAAACAGTGATGGCAGCAGGGTTGAGCACCTGGCTGCTGAGCGTGGCGATGGTGCCCAGTGTAGTTATGGGTGTGGCCAGCGAGGCATTGGCACTGTGTCCACCTGCTCCTGCTAGGCTGGTCGACACTGTCCCTGTCACCGTGCCCAGTGTCGTCACCCCTGCAGGGAGGGTGGAGGGAAAG